CTAGGTTTAACTAAGTCTGCTCTACGTATTGAGCACTTTATTTAGTTGTTTTGCGTACTCGCATCGGTTTTTTTTTCTTTGGACCTTGAACTCGTATGTTGGACGATTATTTTCGGCTAACGTACATGTTCTTAGTTCTTTCTTTTTATACCTTTTTCCCTTTGGTATTGGTTTGATTTTCCGAACGTGTGTAACTTCTTATACCTATAGGATTACTACTAATACTATATATATATATATATATATATATATATATATATATATATATATATATATATATATATATATATAATTTAAAAAGAAAACAGACCATTTTAAGGTTCTATTATAATAATTTATTTCACCAGAGCCCTTTTAAAGGACGCTGGATCATCAGATAACACTTCCAAAAAATGAAACGAAAGATGAAATGAAAATTCACACTTTTGACGGGTAGCATTAAGTTTATGTAATTTAACAGAAAGGGTAGCGAGGAGTAGTGTGAGAGACATGGTCGAGTTTAGAGAGGGTTTATTTTAATATTTCTTTCAATCATACTTAAGTCTACCGTTCTTAAATGCTTATAATATTGCTGCCACATTGCTGCTGCTTCTATTCACCTTGATTTTCTTGATAAGATCCAAAAGAGAATCAGCAATATTATTGGTCCTGATCTGGCTGCTCGGCTTCACTCCTTTCCCCGCCGCCGTCGGGTTGTTTCTCTATATCTTTTCTATAAATACTTTCATGGTAATTGTTCGGATGAGCGCCTTCCTATGGTAACTAGACTTTTTGAATATAAGCGTAGTACTAGATTGGCGTCGAGATTTCATTAAATTACAGTTGAGTTGGCTAGATGTAGTTATAAATTCTATGCTAACAGTTTTTCAATTCTCATTTGTGGAATTCTTTTCCGGTTCCATGGTTTTCAACCAACTTTAATCTTCAAAAATTTTAATGCAATGTCAATCTCTATCTCTACTGTCCTGATTACTCTTTCCTCTTTCCGCACATCATTATTAATGTTTCTGTTCCTAATTCTTCCACACTCTGTAACCCCTTGTGTTTTAGTGGCTTTACTGCCTTACATGAGGTGACACCGATTAAAAAAAGGTAAAATTTAATACGGAAAGAATTTGAAAAGAGGAAAGTAAGAAAGAATTTCCTGAAATAAGCATTTATTTTTAATCATTACAGTGTGAAGGATGTTTCATTAAAACGGATTATATATAGGGTGTTTCATTAAGGCGGATTATATATAGGGTGTTTCATTAAGACGGATTATATATAGGGTGTTTCATTAAGGCGGATTATATATAGGGTGTTTCATTAAGGCGGATTATATATAGGGTGTTTCATTAAGACGGATTATATATAGGGTCTTTCATTAAGGCGGATTATATATAGGGTGTTTCATTAAGACGGATCAAAGTCAGCAACAAATAAATCAGTGTTATTGGTGAAAATTTATTTATTTCTCTATTGGATCATATTATTTAAGTCATTGAAATTATGTGTGAAAAATAATATCGCCCAAATGTCCGCCAAATCTGAAAGAAAAAAATCATTAGACGATTAAACTTAATTCATATTTAAAATCGGTCAAGTTATTGGAAGACCCTTTATATTAAAGTATGCTGGTGTTAAACCTGCGCTTGATGTGTTTTGGAAAAGAAGAAAATTACTTTTAATGGTTGCCATTGTTGGTTTAGCATTCCCAAGGAGGATAAGCGTTACAGTTTTAATTTAAATTGATTTATGAAGAATCTGCTATATTTTTTTTAAGAGAGTCCGATAATGACTATATTTAAATTTCGTCAAGAATCTTAATAGGAGTAAATCGGGCACATCGACGTGGTGTAATCGTTAGCAGACTTGTCAAGAATTATGACTACAAAGTGAGTTCGATTCTCACTGGGAGAACCATACTTTCGGTCTAATGCCACGTTTAAGCTAAGCATAGAAAATCACCTTAATCGGAGTAGATAAGGTCACATAATGCCCGGTTTATACTCTCCCCGGACTTTTGAACAGGAGTAGAGATTTATCCCTTGTTTCTGGTTTCGAATTGGCTTTTCCGGTTCATTCTTTTCATTCTCGTTGACTCCCAGTATCCACTTCTTAGAGGCATTACGGGCTTGCTTGGGACGAACTGATTTTAAAAAAAATGCAACCTTCAGTTCTATTCTAGTACTTTCTTTTCTCACACTTCTTACCTGTGGAACTCCCTTTCTTGTGTTTCTGACGCATAAAATCTTCAAAAATTTGAATGCAACGTCAATCGCCACTCGTTTGTCTTCTTCAATCTTTTATTGTCCTTTACCTCATTTCCCACCACTAAAGACCTCATTCACTTTCACACTCTATAACCCCTATGTGTCTTAGTGGCATTATTGCCTTGCTTGGAGTGAAATGATTAAAAAGATGGTAAAAAGGAAAGGGTTATCCACTCCTTAAAGTTTCAAGAAAATTTAGCATCCTTTTTAAATTATCAAATGGCAAAAACTTGTCTTAGACATGGATGCCATGTTCTTGGTGTCTCTAGCCTTTTAAAAATATTTCTTAATATAAAAATAATTCATAAATTACTCTTCTGTTCACCTGGGGCGCCCCTGGCTACCTTTAAGGGCGCATTAGTGCACGAGGGCTGACCGGTTGAGAAACACTGCTTTTAGAGTAATATACACTGCTTTAGCCGTGTACTTGACCCGATTGTTCACCTTTAATTTAGCTGTTAAGTATTTAGCTTATATGTTTCTTTTAAAGCATCACCTACGACTCCTTGAACAGTTCCACCAGCGCTGCCTCCGCACAATCCTTAACATCCACTGGAATGACTTCGCCACTAATATTGAAGTCCTTGAAAAGGCGAAGATCAGCAGCATCAAGGCCATGCTACTGAAGGATGGACATGTTTCCAGGATGAGGAATCATCGCCTACCTAAAATTGGGCGACGAGTTATCCGCTGGTTATCGCTGTAGAGGGGCACCAAAGAAGCGATTCAAAGATCGCCTGAAGAAATCCTTTGGTACTTGTCATATTGACAATTGCCAATGGTCCACGCTGAGAGCCGTGACGCCTGACGTCTCACCACCAACCATGCTGTCTCCTCGTTTGAAAATATCTGCAGGGCCGCTGTCAAGGACAAGAGAGAGAGGGGGAAGTACTGCAACGCTATGCCATCGAGCTGAGGTAAGACCTTCAGTTGCAACTGCTGCAACCGTATATGCCTGGACTTATCAGCCACAAACGTACCTGGAATTGACGTAAACAGACTCACTCTTGATCTTTGTTTTGCGAAGCGAATCCATGATGATGATGATAATGATGATCCTTTTAATCTCCACATCATTCGGTAACTTTTTCTAAAATTTTGTAACCACCTTATCAAGAAGTTTTTTTTTTCTACATATGTGGTGCCATTTTTTACATATTTTACCAGATTTATCAGCTGGAATAAACACATCGCTTGATTTTCTAGTAATCTTCCAGTCTTTGTGGAATTTTTCCTTGAAATATTACTTGGCATTCGTTTCCCGTATTTCTAAACCCCAGGAAATTAATCATATTCAGGAGGATCGTTTCAAAGCTCTACAATTCTGCAAGTTGTGGTGGACATTTCATAATCATGAAGTATTTTATTTTTGTACGTTCTTTTTGTTTGTTATTTCCATTCTCGTTCTAAAATAAAGCGCTTTCCATTGTTTCAGTTTAATTAAGCAATCAGCCTTTTCAATGGATTTAATTTTATACGAATGAACCTTAGGCTTGTCGCTATTTTTCAGTAAATAATAAGGAGCTCAACTTTTTCTCATGCTGGTACAGAAAATATAAAAGAACGGAACAGCGTGTGAAAAAATTAAAAAATGAAAAAATGAAAATATATATATATATATATATATATATATATATATATATACGAGTTAGGGTCAAATATAGATCAAATACGAATCGGAATCTGGAAAAATGATAAGATAAAAAAGAAATAGGTAAATTACTTTTGTGCTATTTGATATTCGTTGCTTACTCATGTTTCACGTACATTCGACTTGTTAAACAAATGTTAGAATAATTTGTGTCTTTTCGAACTTAAGGAGAGACAGCGTAAAGACGTCTAACACACACACTATTACGAATATATATATGCATCCCACATAGACAAACGAGGTATTTACACTGTCTCCCCACTAAGAAGAGTTGTGACACAAGGTCATTTTTTAAGGTGGGGACCCGAGCGCGTACACCCGGACAGGAACAAAAAAATTCCCGCAGCCGTCGGTTGCACTGGCCTCTCTCTGGTGCAATGAGAGGGCGCGAACTCGGGCAGCTGTTCCCAAGGGCCCACATAGACAAACAAGAATTATTATACACTTACATGCATAAAGCAATATTTACGGTTTCCAGTTAGGCTTGGAATCCGTTTATTTCTTTTAACTTTGAATGGACGCATTAAACCAACTTTAGTATAATTCGTGACATTCTGAATTCAAGGAGAGACGACAGTTCCAAGAAATTAATGGATTCCAAGCTTAACTGAAAACCCTAAGTATTACTAATGGGATTGTGCGTGTGTCCAAGTGTGAGGTAAAATATATCAATGTTAGTAATTGTATTTTTGTGTGCAGAAGACAAGGTGGATTAATAGACATTTGTATAAATGCAAATATTTTGACACGTACGTGTTATTTGGCCGAGGAAAACTTCTGTCAGGATTGTTGATGCACTGAAAAATTAACGAAAGTGATGTAAAAAATCTTTCATTACCTGGCTATTGCTTTACTTTGTTCATATTGCGTCATGGATTTTTGAGTGAATATGTAAATAAACTGAGGTGCACCCTTTTGTAAATCTAAAATCGGATCAATGACAGCGTGGTTAGATTAATAATTTAGGCATGCCAATGCTATCGGATGTCACATGAAATAGAAGGAGAAGAAGAAGACGAAGAAGAAGAAGGTAAGGGAACTGGAAAAATAAACCAAGAACAGAAAGGCGATAGGAAAAATAGTAAGTCGTTGTTCTAATGTGGCATGAAATAGAAGAAGAAGAAGAAGAAGAAGAAGAAGAAGAAGAAGAAGAAGAAGAAGAAGAAGAAGAAACAGTAGAAAGAACTGGAAAAGGAAACCAAAAGAAAAAAAAGCAGGAAAGAGAATAATGTTTTTGAAAGATGGTGGCGAAAGAGAAAATCAAGCGATACAAAAGAATAGAACCGAGGGTGTGAGGAGAAAGGAGCGGTAGTAGGAGATTGAATCATAAAGGAAGGAGATAGAACTGAGAAGAAATACGAGTAGAATGAAAAGATGGTGTAAAAAAAAAAAAATGAAAGAAATCAAACGGCAGTGTGAAGAAAAGATAAAAAAGAAACAAAGAGAAAAAAATATCCAAGAGCAAACAAAAAATACGTTATGGTTGAGAATAAGAAGGAATAACTTCAAGAAGGAAGGATGTTCTTGCAAAGAAACGGAGGATGGCGGTTGCAGGAAAAGACGCGAAAGATATAGCAGTAGGAGTATACACACGTATATACATACAAGTACACAAACACACTTACAGACACACACATATATACATATGTATATAAAGACATGTATATAGGTCACTATTTGTATGTATGCTAGCGTGAATATATATATATATATATATATATATATATATATATATATATATATATATATATACGCACACATATATACTTTTGCGTAAATATAAATAATTATATATATATATATATATATATGTGATATATATCGATAGATAGATACCCTAATATATGTATATATATCGATAGATATCGTAAAATATTTCAAATTGATATATATATATCTATGTGTGTGTGTGAGTGTGTGTGCATATACACACAAATGAACTCACAGACATGCAGTTATATGATATATATTTTGTCATATATATATATATATATATATATTCAATTATGCACAATATATATATGTATGTATGTAATAGGTGGCCACTATTCGAGGATACCCATGTATTAGGGCGTCTAGCCAATCCCTATTGCAGACGCTCGCTCAGGCACATTTGTGTTTTGTTCAACATCCACAGAGCCAACCTGTGGTTTATACTGCAACTATGCTAAGCATACCTAAGGAGTTACAGTCTCTGGGAGAGAGCGTGTTATCTAGCGTGATCAACAATCTGAAGAAGGCCACGTGCTATCGACGGCCCCAAGTGTTCTGTCTACCCAATTTCACTCGCAAGGTTTGGATCAACCCGTGGTATGTTTTTTAGGCATTTTCCAAAGGTACCGCACAATGGGATCATCTCCGTTCCAAACCTATATATATATATATATTGATATAGGATTGATCAATAATCCCGTAGTACGATGCGAATTATGAGCTGAAAATTTCATTTTATAATGTTTGAATTATATGATTAATATTCGCCAATAAATTAAGAGCATTGACAAAGGGGAGATTTTTGTTGAAAATAAATATTTATGTTCTAGATTAACTGCTATTAGGCTCTCGAATGACTTTCTGTATACTTCATGGATATATATATATATATATATATATATATATATATATATATATATGTACCGATGTTCATATGTTTACATAAAGAAGGAGAGCGCAGAATGGGATAGACAGAGTGTGAAGGGTGTGGAAAGTAAAGAGAAACATACACACACACAGAGAGAGAGAGAGAGAGAGAGAGAGAGAGAGAGAGAGAAAGTGAGAGAAAGAGGAAGAGAGAGAGAAAGTGGGAGATAGAGTGTGAAAGAGTGAGAATCCTTTTACCCACCCGAGATAATAATTCGTTTGCGAATCCGGCATCTTTGTCTAAAGAATGTTTCGCCCTTTGTAAAAAAAACAAAAACAAAATACAAACAAACAGAAAAACAAACAAACAAACAAAAAAGCAAAAACAAAAAACGAGGAAGTCTCACTTGAGCTGATGTCGCCGTGTTGGATGGTCAGTCACAGACAAAAGAAATCTCAGTGGTCCGACCCGAACGGTTCTAATGTGTAACATAATCTGTATGCTTCACCAAACATTGTGTCCCCACTTGTTAGACACCATTCAGGCTAGACTTCCGTATTTACCAACTTACCAATCGCCATTCATGAGCGAACTTCCTGATTCGAATAAATAATATCATTGATGCGTAAGTGTGTGTTTGTCTTCATTCAGATACACGTAAAAATGGGTCCCGTTAGCATTGTTGGGTAGAATACTTCTATATGTATACTTACATCTATAAAAATATATTTGCGCTCACACACTTCAACAAACAAACATATATATATAGGCACGGTGGAGTAATGGATAGCGGCTTGGATTGATGAATCGCAGAGCCGAGTTCGAATTCCATTCGAATCCATTACGTTCACTTACGTGCTAATACCCTTGGGAAGGCTATGAATCCTCTTCCTCTCCCTCCAGCTATGGGTAAAATAGCAGGACAGACTGGGTTCTATAGCCTTGGATGGCAACTGGTCTAGGAGAAGGACAACTCTGAATTCAAAACCTGCGGAGGGTCGTTTGGGAACCTTGTAGCATTCGGTGCACCAGGTCTCTGTATTCCTCCCTTCAAAAAGTCTGGCTGGTCTTGCACGAAACCTTCACCACTATAATCAAATCTCATGTGCCGGTGTCGGGCTGTCGGTTTCATGGAAACTGATCTGCTTGACCCTCATACGTCGGATCTCGACGGGAGAGTCGATTATTATATATATATATACACGTTGATCATTTCACTCCAAGCAAGGCGGGTATGCTACTAATACGCAGGGAGTTACAGGGAGTGAAAGTGAGAGAAAAGATTGAGTATAGGGAGTATTGATAAAAGGATAAAAGATGAACGGGATTCGAGAAGATAGCGATTTACGTTTCATTCATATGTTTAAGGATTGTCGTTTCCAGAGAAGCAAGAAAATGAAATGGAGTTCCACAGGCCTGACGTGCGAGAAAAGTGACTGATAGAGTAGAAGTGGCGGTTGCATTTTGCTATTTCAATCGTAAACGGGTGGAACCTGGAGGTCACTCTGGTTTTCCCGCTTACATTCATGAAGTCTGGAAACCAGGGAAAAAAGATCATTAGAGCAGTTGCCATGAAAATATTTGTAGAAAAGACAGAGGGAAGCCACATCAAGTCGGTGAGAAAGTGACTGAAGTTGAGATACCAAATCAGAAGCGATTACATTACAGATTCTTCTTATATTTTCTCAAAAACCTTGGGATGAATAGCAGGACAATTAGACCAGATATGGCAGCAGTATTCAATGTACGGGGGAATCATAGGTTTGTAAGTGTGCAAGTTGGACTAGAAAAAATTCTTGAAAAAAATGACACGGTGACCCAGCATTCCTTGCAGTATATGCAGCTATTGATTCGATAGAGTCACTTCACTTCAAGTCAATTGAAAAACGTGAGGCCGAGAAGGCGCAGTGTGCTGCTCTTCAGGAGTCGAGAAGAAAAAGTTTCTCGATGATGGTTAAATGAGAGCAGTTTTGTTTTGCAGGCGTTAAAATTGACAAGGCATTTCCTGCACCAGTGAACTACAAGGGCAGCAGCCAGATTTACTTTTTCAGCTCTGACGAATGTGCTGTTGAGACAGGAGTAAATGGTAGTGTCCTCTGCATACACGTCTACTTGGAAACTGATGACATCACGAAGATCATTGCCGAAGATCAGAAATAGCGTTGGTTCCAGGTTTGAACCTTGGGGACACCCGCGTTCGTGTTATAGGATCTGGTAGCGAACCCGTACAAAATGCCCTTCATTTCACGATTTGATAGAAACGATTCGATTAAATCAAACAATCCTCCTGCTATACCGTAGCCTTGGTGCTTGCGTAGAAGACCAGAGTGCTAAACCCTGTCAAACGTCTTCAAGATATCCAGAGAAACAGCTCAAGCTTCGCCGTTATTATCAAGAGGGTCATTCAAAAATAAGGTGAATTTTTCGGTATAAGGACTTCTAATACAGATAGAAGCTTACTTTTTTTAATTTTTTTGTTTTACTTCTTTTTCATATGGATTTAATTTCTTTTGCAGATTAAAAAAAAAAAAAAACTTTGAGAGTTTTGGCGATTAACAAAGATGGCCAACCAAGAAGCATGCTCCAGGATTGAACAGCGGTCAGTTATCAAGTTTTTGGTTGCTGAAGGGTGCAAACCAGTTGAAATCCATAGGAGAATGTCAACTGTGTATGGTGCCACATGTTTCAGCCAAAAAATGTCTACAAGTGGGCTAAATTGTTTAAAGAAGGACGAAGCAGTGTTGAGGATGAAGACAGGCCTGGGAGGCCTACAGAAGTGAGGTCTCCTGAGGTGATCGAATCAGTCAATGACAGAAGAACTACTGTGAACTGCTGAGGCAGGTCAAGAAAGACATAAAGAACAAACGCAGGGGTCATCAGTCAGAAGGAGTCATCTTGCATTATGACAACGCAAGGCCGCACACAGCAGCCCAAACGGTGTAGACCATCAACGAGCTGGGCTGGGAACTGCTCCCTCATCCCCCTTACAGCCCAGACCTTACCCCTTCAGACTTTCACCTGTTTGGTCCCTTGAAAGCGTTCACGAGAGGCACGAAGTTTAAAAGTGACGATGAAGTCAAAAGTGTTGTGAGCGATTGGCTGAGACATCAGTTCAAAGATTTTTACGCTGAGGGAATACGGAAGCTTGTGCACAGATGCGAAAAGTGTGTGACAGTGCTGGGAGACTACGTTGAAAAAAAAAAGTAAGCTTCTATCTGTATTAGAAGTCATTATACCGAAAAATTCACCTTATTTATTGAATGACCCTCGTAAAAATTCAGTAATGGCCGTTAACAGACGAGCGGTAGACCTGGCGAAACGGAAGCCATATGCTTTGTCCGAGAGGAAGTCGTGAAAAGTAAGATGCTTAACCAATTCAGCATTGATTAGAGCCTCTAATATTTTGCCGAAAAGCGGTAAAAGACTAATATTAAAGTACAGAGGAGGACTTCAAACAAGCTGGAAAGCAACGTGGCTGTAGAGTTTGGGGAGAACTGGAGCTATCCCAGGAAATTTCTTTAGAACGACGGCTGGTATCTCGTCACTTCCGCTTGCCTTGTGGGAGACTAGTTTGGACATGATGTCTGAAACCAATGAGGAGAGTATGCAGATACCACTTAGTAGAGCCTCCGTTCTCGGGTGGGAGGAAATTAGGTGTGAGTACTCGAGATGAGTCGAGTGTGGAGTTGGAAGAGAAGTTCCGAGCAAAGCATTCAACCTTATCTGCTGTAGATATCATGGCTTCGAATTGATTGAATAGAGGAGGGATTGAGGATTGGTTGTTTTTCAGCACACTCTTGCAGAGACGCCAGTAATCTCTAGAACCGAACATCTGAGAGGCTATACGTTGTTTCATTCTGTCAACAAACAGTAACTTCGCTTCTTTGAGAACACGCTTGCACTCATTACGAGCAGAGACAAAAAGACGTCTGTTCCAATCAGATATATCGTTCTGGTACAGCAAGAAGTGATTCCTGTGGGCTATAGAGGCCGAGCATGCAGGTGAGACCCAAGGAGATGAACGTGGTTTCACTTGCTATTTCTGTGCTGGAATGAAAGGTTCAATACCGGCATTCACGCGGGAGGAGACCTCAGAGGCACATTTTTGAACAGGATGGATAAAAACTTAATTCCAAGGGACGTCACGAAGGAAGTCACGGAACGAATCCCAGTCAGCTCGTTAAAAGATATTCTGTTCGTAGACGGTTCTTGGCTGGTGGGAGAACGGAACGAGATGTTTACAGGTAGTACCGCATGTCAAAGTTGCCAAGAGGCCAGAGTTGCAGAGTACGACATGAGCCAAAAATAAAAGTAAAGAAGTGATCAAGAAGAGAAGCGTGTCCATCAGGGTTACTGGAGAAGCTCTTAGGGAAGCCAACCGCTTGCGTGAGGGTTTGAGATTGAGAATTGAGGTCAGTGACTGAGTGATTAAACCGCCTGGTATGGTGGGCATTAAAGTCACTGAACACAAACATATTTACAAACAGGTATAGAGAGATGGCCTTATCTATATTATCAGAAATACTATCTAGCACGTAGCCTTTATGAGAGGAAGGGGAACGATAAAGAAAGAAGATCTAGCTGACTGTGTTTAGTAGAGAGAAACGGAGGCATATGCAGGAATGGTCTGGAGATTCAAAGAATGTTCCCTAGCCAGCGGATGATGTTCGCGGACTTAAATCTCAGGTCATGCATGTGGACATTAGAGTCCTTCCTAAAGAGAGGGAAACCGCCAGGAATCGAGGATTCAGAGGAGGGGATTGCACAGTTAAAATTTGTTTCGTAGAGAGCTAGGATGTACGGAGATTGTTGGATTTTATCCTATTGATTTTATATTAAATATAACTTATTTTTTAGTATAATTTTACTTAATTTTAATAAATACTAGTAGGAGAGCCCGGCGTTGCCCGGTGTTGTAACAGTAAGAGATAGATCAAGTATCGACCATCATAAAGACTGAAAAATAAAATTGACAAAGATTATTGTTTAAGGTTGACGGACACGCATGTCTTAATTAGTTTTATTTTATTTTTTTTATTTTTTTATGAATTGGTCAAACCCAAACTCAAACAAAAACATTGTTTTCAATCGTTATGAGTCTACCGACTGAATAGAATTTTATTATAAACAATTGTCTTGTAAATGGAATTTTTAAAGCATTCTGAATGTAAAAATAAAGAAAAAAGTGTGCAAGACAATAAGAAACATTACCTGCCAAGAAAAAGTGAAGTTTTATTGAAATCGGTTGAAAAATGTAGGAAATCCGATCCCATATATAAACGAACACACACACACACACACACAACCTGGGTTTTATAATAAGTATAACTCGATATGAGTTGTCTCCCTTTCATTAATGCCTCTTAATCGTGTTTTCAAATTGATTTCACGCAAAAACAATTGTATTTTTCCAATTTGGGGCGCTTTCAGAACCACCGCAAGGTAATTTTACGTAGTCCTGTGAAGTTTTGTTGAAATCGGTTGAAAAATGTAGGAAATCCGATCCAATATATAAACGTACAGACACACACACACACACAATAACTGCGTTTTATAATAAGTAAGATAAATGATTTAAATATGACTTATTTTTAATTATAACTTATTTAAATATATCTTATTTTTAAATATAACTTGTCTTTGGAATAGTTATTTTAAGTATGATTTTGTATTTTTAAACATAACATCATCTATACAATTTAAGTTTTTTTTTTTTAAAAAAATCAGCTTTTTATTCCTCTCTCAGTTTCAAATTAACATTTCATTCTTCAGTTTAATGTCATAAGGTTAATATCCGGGATAATCTTTTAATACCTCTTCCATTTAAGACTGATACTTTCCATCCTCCCCTGACCACTGTCTCGTGCCTATCATCTGACTGAAACACGCACAATGGATAAATTCTGTATTAGTTTTCTTTGTTGTAGCTGTCACAGTCAAATTACTAATTCCGACACGAACTCAGTCTTTACCGAGGTTGAATAAAACTAACGAATTTCATCGGTCGAAAGCTTATTCTCCATATGAAGTGATTTAGGTTTTATTGTATATTAATTATCTGCTCTGTAATAATAAATACATTAAGCTCATTTTGTGGATTAATTTTAATATTCTATATTACTAGGCTTCACTTAGATTCTATAGCAACGGATTTATTACATTTACTATATATATATATATATATATATATATATATATATATATATATATATATATATATACTCTCTACTCATTTCTATAACCTAATATATATGATCACAGAATTAAAAATTTTCTGTTGAGATTTTTACTGAGGAACACGCCTCCTCTAACTGAAAATGCTGGATCCGACCCTGATGTGGTAACTATATATATATATATATATATATATATATATATATATACGTTTTACCAGGTTGTGACAGGAAGAGATAATTCCGAGGAGGATATACAATCAGAGAGAGCGCAATGTAGGCTACAGTGCATTATAATGATACTAAGAAGACGGAGACATTATCAATTTCGTTTTTAGTTTTTATTTCGTGAACACTGGGATGTTCAACTCATCAGAATGAAATCTTCTCCGCAAAGGAAGAAGGTACATTAGATTAGTAATGGGGGGGGGGGAAGTGAGAGAGAAGAGATGGGTAAAGCGAGGACTAGTGGATTAGTGGTTAGTAGCAGTCGGTCGATTATATATATATATATATATATATATATATATAAAGAGAGAGAGACAGAGAGAGAGAGAGAGAGAGATTTTAAAATTATAATTTTACTTTTATAGCTTGAAGTATGACATTTGTGTGGTTGAGTGTTTTGTTTTAATCTTTTTTCCTTATATTCATACAAATATACATTAATTTTTTATACAAAAATCCCCAGAAATAATATGGACAGCTCAACTAGTACGATAATCCATAATATACACCAAAATTTAAATTATGTAACGATCAGTTTCAATTCAGTACCTGATGATTGCGTTGTGCATGAAACTTAGTCCTGCTAACGTTGAGGAAAAATGTGTATTTATTATTAACACACACACACACACACACACACACACACACACACACACACATATATATATATATATATATAAGGGCTTATTTAAAAACGAATATTTTCAAAGTTATTTACAAAGCGTAGTTTAACAGATTTACGCCAAAAGAAACGTGTTTCTACAGAAGGGTGTTGAGGATACCATGAAATGATATATGAACAATAACGAAGATCTAGACGAAATGGAAAAACAAAGGACACTTATATTTAACATCAGAGTTAGACAGTTAAAATATTTCGGGCACATGGTGAGGGAACAGGGATTAGAAAATTTGACACTCACAAGGCATATTGAAGACAAAAGGCACAAAGGAAGGCAGTGCATAAGATGCCCAGCGAACTTGTGTGTAAGTTATTCGCAGAACTTGGATTAGGAGGAGAGATAGCAAAAACACAAAAATTGATAATATCTACAAAGGACAGGGAATTGTGGAGCGCCATTATCACTCTTATCCTTAATCCTTTGAGCTTTGCGTTCATGTACATTTTTAACTCTTTTGAGCTCCTGAGTCAAAATTCGCAAATAATTGGTATGTGATGTTTAACGGTAGATATAAAAATAGTTACAAGTGTTTACCCATCGTTCAACCAGTGGTTAGGTATTAAGTCATTTTTCTCTACCACTGTTCAACCAGTGGCTGGGCATTACGTCATTTTTCTACCACCGGTAAAGCAGCGGTCACGGCTGAAAGGGTTAAGGGACACGGCACATAGAAGTAGAAGGTTAGTTTTTTCATTACACGACAGAATTTGGACACGCCCCTAAAATCGATTACGCATGTAAATTTAAGTAGCTAAGCCCAGCACAGGGACTCATGAGCAGCGCACCATGTGAGGATCGAACTCAAATTAGCAAATGGTACCGTGATATCAGCTTGCCCATCATCACTTTCCGCTAGCTACCGTATCTATCTATTTATAGAAAGGAAGAGAGAGACACACACAAAAAGATAGATAGATAGATAGATAGATAGAGAGAGAGAGAGAGAGAGAGGGGAGTTGGAGGAATGAAGGAATGCTTTGCAGTTGTTATACTTTTGTAAAATCCTGTATCATGAGCACACATATCCGCACACACAATCGTGTATCTTCAATCACAAAAGACAACGCAATATATATATATATATATATATATATATATATATATATATATATATTTTTTTTTTTTCTTTTCCATATTATTTCTATTGACGTCAGTGTACAATTACTTCGTGTTGTTTTATTGGACGGTATCGTTTAATTTTTACACAAGCAAAACTTCATTAATCAGCTTACTTTGCAGCATTTAAAATCTTTTAAAACTATCTGTTTGTAAAATGATTAAAATGCCTCAAATAGATTTACGAGAGCGAAATGGAGGAATTCATGCTAAGAAGATTAGTCTAGATGTAAAATTACTAAAAAAAAACAAAAAAATTTTTGTACAATTTCTATGTGCTTTTGAGAAATATTAAAATATTACTTTTTTTTTTCTTTATTTTCAGTAAACTCTTTTCGATCATAAACTACAAGTTTACTTTTATGTCTGTAAATACTAAAATATTCTACTTATCTACGTGCAGGTAGGGGGAACTTGGCGTGGTGTAATCGTTAGCAGTTACGACAGGAGAGTGAGTTCGATCCTCACTGTGTGCTCCATACTTTAGGCCTTGTGCTACATTTAAGCTACGCTTAGAAAATCAGTATCTACCTGGAGGTGAATCACATAAGCACACGCGCGCATACATGCCAAGCGCGCGCGCACATACACACACACGCACATATATATATATATATATATATATATATATATATATATATGTATATATTCCAGTCGAATCCATTACATTCACTTAAATGTTAATACCCTTGGGAAAGGTATTAATCCTCTTCTTCCTCCAGCTATGGGTAAAATAGCAGGACAGAACGGGTTCTATAGCTATGGATGGCAACTGGTCTAAGAGAAGGACAACTCTGAATTCAAATCCTGCGGAGGGTCGTTTAGGGACTTTGTGGCACGTAGCGCACCAGGTCTCTGTATTCAGTCCTTCAAAAAGTACGGTTGGTTCTGCACAAAGCCTTCACCACTATAATCAAATCATATGTGTTGGTGTCTGGCTGTCAGTTCCTAGGAAATTGAGTTGTTTGACCTTCATACTTCGAATACAACGGAGAGTCCACCGTGTGTGTGTGTATATATATATATATATATATATATATATATATATATATATATATATATATATATATATATATATATATATATATATACCGAGGAAAAATGTATATTTATTATTGATATATATCTATACCTTGAAACAATGAAAAGTGAATATATAAAAGAAATATATGTATATTAATATATATTTGTGCAGCAAACTTTTTTTTTTAAACATGTTTCGTTGAATATGACAGACAAAGAAAATTTAATTTATATTTCATTTATTTTTTTCAGCATTCTTACAATTTTTCTGTTTGGTGGGAGTATGGGAGTGTAAAATTTTTCCATATTTTCCATTGTCCCGATCACTTTTGGCTACTTCTTTAGCCATTTTCAAGGAGGTTTGTCTTGGTGTGTTGTTAATTTCTCTTTGTGTTTGACGTTTAAGATGTATTTTATGTGTTGTTTTGAATATTAGTAGAAGTGTTTATTGTGAGCTTCACATGTTGAACATGGCTGGTATTCGAGTGGGCATTTTTCTATTTTTTAATAACTTTCAACATAACAGTGTTGAATAAGGTGAGGCTGATAAAGATAGAAAGATGTTTAATATACTGGGCCTCTCTTATAACAAGATGTTTCCTATAATGTGATTTATAGAGAACTTTAGTATTTACAACCAGAACTTTTCTCAAGGGTTCTTATAAATTTCTTTTTCAATTGTAGTACTATATAATATTTTGTATATTATGGTAATAATTACCAAAATGTTACAGTTCATTCTTGAATATTATTTATTATCACTTGGGTCTACTTTGGATCTGACGTATTGTCGTATTGTTTCCATTTTCAATTACAATCATTTGAACCATGTTAAAAGCCAGTATTTCAAGTACCTAGCTTTCAAAGCAAATAAATCTTACCCACTTGGAAAACTGGCGCAACACAGTCTTCCTACTCATTTCAGCAGGTATATATGTGTTTCTGAACATATATATATATATATATATATATATATATATATATATATATATATATACTATCGGCATTTCTCTCCCTGTTTTACATATATATATATATATATATATATATATATATATATATATATATATATATATATATATGGTAGCAACCTTTTTTAATACCTTTCATTAAATATGATGGACAAGGAAAAGTTAATTTTTTATTTAGTTCTTCTAATATTCTTACAGTTTTCCATTTGGTTGGAGAAAGAGTGTGCAGAAACTGTCTATATTTTCTATTGTCTCAATCACTTTTGGCAACTTCTTTAGCCATTTTCAAAGAGGTTTGTTTTGGGGTGTTGTTAATTTCTCCTCGTGTTTGAGTGTTTTGTATTTCATGCGTTGTTTTGAATACTAGTAGGAGGAGCGTTTATTGCGAACTTTTGCATGTTGAACATAACTGGAATTGTTTATACAGTAAGTATTTTTTATTTCAACTTTCTTCAAACAGGCAATTTTTTTAATGTTGAAATTAACTTCAATGTTTTATCATCTGGAACCGCTATGTCTTTCCAACTCAGCAATGGTGAGAGGAAAAAGATCATTCAAACCTTCAGTAATAGTATCAATATTCCTGTTCTGGCTTTCATCTTCAAAGTCCATCAAGACAACGGTGAATAACTTTAAAAAAGAGGGAACAGTTGAAAGGAAAACTGAATCAGGAGATCACAACAGGCAAGAGGGATCATCATTTCAACTTACAGCTAAATACATTCTTATTGTTCAAAGTAGATTCCAACAGTGTTATGAAAACCTCGGAGAATTCCAGTAAGATATCTTTAATCATTTCTAAGATAAAACTGTTCAAAGCTTAACCTAACAATTTGGACAATTTTAATGTAAAACGATTTAAACAATTTTCCTGATACCTCTCTCTCTCTCTCTCTCTCTCTCTCTCTCTATATATATATATATATATATATATATATATATATATATATATATATATATATAAAGAAATATAGTCTTAAGGTGTGCTATATTTATGGGATAAAGTGCTCAATATCAGAGATAGAGCGTGTGTAAATATAAAAGTGAACATAGAAGTCAACACTTAGAGTCTGTTTCATGCTATATGCAATCGTCAGGCCTGACGATTGCATATAGCATGAAACAGACTGTTGCTTCTAAGTGTTGACTTCTATGTTCACTTTTATATTTATATATTTATATATATATATATATGTGTGTGTGTGTGTGTGTAAAAATTCAAATATAAATAAAATACGAGGGTTGACTGAAAAGTTCATAAGCTGACCAAAATACTCTCATGGAATGTGACCAACCCTTTAGGTTTATTTTTCAACATTGTCCTCCTTGAGTCCCGCACAATTCTTTCAGCGTTGTTGCAGTGTTTGTTATGAAGTTTTCATCCTGTTGGTCAAAAAAGTAATCAAAAACTTGTAACTAAAGCAGAGGGATTAGACAGGCAGATTAATAGATAGCAACAACAGGATTCTACACATATTGTCGCTACATCAAATATTTTTCCAATAATTTCTTCCCATGAAGAAACAACCGATGACAGTTTTGAGCCAAGGAGACAATCTAGGAGAAATTTCAGTCTCTAGACATGCCATGGACCTTATTAGAGGCGATGTATCTTCCAACTTTGGGACATGGCTTGCTAACGCCTTTTTATTAGACCCTACAAGATATGGGCTTTCTTTGTCCAAGTCTTAACTAAAGGACATTATCTTTGGTAAGTCAAAAATAGATCAGGAAATGTCTAGAGTAAAAATAATACATGCAAGCATGTTCAGAACCATGGAAATAACATTTGCATTGGTGTTAATTACAAAAGTTGATTAAGGCACTTTACAATACAAAGATATTGCAAAGGAAAACTGCAAAATAAATTAAGAAAACCAAACGACCAGAGCGCCACTTGACTTTCACCAGAGATGGACACGGAAAGTAGATATCTCACCCACAGATTTATCCCTAACATTGGTACAACTGGTGCTGTTCTAGCAGAGGAAGTTTCTGATGGTTTAGCAGAATTCAGCCGCATAAATTCCATTAAGACAGTTTTTGTGGACAATCCAAGTACAAACACTGATTGTAAAGCAGGGCTTGTTACAGCTCAGGAGAAAAAAAAATGAAAGAAAGTTGCAGACAATCGGCTGTTCACTTCATCAAACTGAACCTCCATTTCGAATTGTTTTTAAGTACATTGAACAAGAAGCCTTACTATTTTTACTGGTCTTCTAGGGAAAGCTTGCAGAAATGATTACCAGGATTTGCCCCAGGTAGAATTTGACACTATCAGTGGCCCTCTAGATAATTTATATCTTACTGCAGGGAAAATGGAAGAATTATGTAGTGACCAAAGACTGCTCTTAGAATATGCAGCAAGAATTTATCCAGGGAAAGTGAACCCTAGATTTGATGCCTGGAAAATTGGGTCTCTAAATCAAGCAAGGTGACAAACTTTAGCCATCAGGTTAATGTATTTATGGACCAGAGGTGCCTATTCAACAGAACTCTATTATAAATTGTACAGACTTATAAAATTTATAATTGAAATATATGTATATATGTATATTGATTTGAAATTAAAAAGAATAATAAATTCCATAACCAACAACTGTATATCTTCAACATGATCCAGAGAATAAATCAACAGTCGACTAAAATACAGAATGTAAAAGATTTACAAGGCAAAAATATTTTTGTTTCAGAAGTAGCGAGCCACCAGAAAAAAATATTACATTTAACTCTGAAGTGACACACTAGTTAAATTTGATTAACCTCCCATAAAATGAAGGCTGTGAACTTACACTTGCAAAAGGTTTTTCAAATAATGAACTGGAAGAGGTTCTAATGAATGGAAAAAAAAGTGAAGTTGCCAAATTTACCTGTCCATTTGCAAGGTGTGTGAAAAAAGTTAAATTAACTACT